TGATACACAGCACAGTGGCACACCAACAGAAGAAGAACTCACAACTTATTGGTCTTCTCTTTGGTCCAATGCTGTTACACACAATGCTGATGCAGGCTGGATCAAGGAGGAGAACAGAAACTTGCACAACATACCAACTATGCCCTGTGCTGAAATAAACGTACATGACATTCGCTACGCTGTTAACAGAACACACAACTGGAAGACACCTGGTGTAGACAATTTCTGGTACAAAAAGTTTACATCACTGCACCAGGAACTAGCTAAACATCTAACACACATCATCATCAACACACAAGACATGCCAAAATTTCTTACCCAGGGCATCACCTACATGAAACCTAAAAACAACAACACCACAGACCCCACACAATACAGAATAATTTAGTGTTTTCCCTACTACCTTTGATGTGTTGATTTTCGGTATTCATGGTCTTTGTGTGGGATCTGTACCCATTATCCAACATGTTAAACAACACGCAATATGGCTACAATATCAGACATGAAAAAACAACACAGTTTACGCTGTCACATCTAATGTACATGGACAACATAAAACTTTATGCATCCACACAAAAACAACTTCAGCAGCTCCTACAAATCACATGCTCATACACCAAGGACATACAAATGGAGTTTGGCTTAGACAAATGCAAGACACTTCACATCCTGGACAAAGGAATCCTGAAGAAAGAAGATTTTGCACTTGGAAATGTAGACATTATTGAATCCATGGAAGAGGGTGAGTTCTGCAAGTATTTAGGATTTATAACAGAACATACACAAATAAAGCAAAGACTAATTAAAGAATATCAAAGTAGGTTAAATGCTATCCTCAGAACACAGTTAAATGCAAAACACACAGTTAAAGCAATAAACCCATATGTCATCCCAGTACTCACATACTCTTTTGGAGTTATACATTGGACTCANCGAAAACTGAGAAGGGTGTTTTCGTTCGTACTAGAGTGTAAAGCGAAATCGAAATTCCTTAGGAAAGTAATTTTCATTGGCCGTGGATCGAGAGGCTCACTCAACTTATGAAAATTCACCGTGAAAAACGCCGAATTTATTGGGTACCCGACTTTTTCTTTCTTCTCATCTTTACATTTCAACTTCTCTCTTGTCTTAGATCTATTTTTCGTTTTTAGTAAGTAATAATTAGTCTTAAGATATAATTGTATATGCTATAAGTATAATAATCATTCAACGAAGGAAGAATTGTCGCGTTATATAATTGATTCGTTGAATTTTTGTTACTAAAATTAAGTAATAAGTTAAGGGATAGAGCTTGTAGCTGGCATCCGATCTATATTCCTGTATTTTGTTCGCGAATTAAAGACTCTCATATCGTAAAAGTTGTGTTTCTTTGTCCACGGTATTTGCGATCCTCACACTTTATTTTATTTAAAGAAAAAAAAATGGATAGTTTTTACAGTATAAAGACGGTACGTTAAATAAAAATACAAAAAGACTATTAATAATAAAACCCTCAAAAGTTTTCACGGGAGAGAGATGAGTTCCGTCAGGCCAACACCCAGCTTTAACTTTGCATGTTGCATAAGCACGCGTACAGTACATTATATATTCCAACATTAAATCCTGTCAAATTAGTTAATACAATAGTAGTTTTACAAGCCGAATTTCATTAATTACTTATTGATTATGTTTGCTTTAAAATAACGTTTGGAATTTCGATCTAGAAGTTTTTCTAATAAGTAAACAAAATTAATTTTTTATTTAAAAATACTAATGCTAGAGATCTAAAACTTATCGAGCTTGTAAGATTTATCCATCCGTCATATTCTCAATAAAATGATTTATTAAACTGAAATAATTGTCATTTCTTAATGTAAACTCATAGGCCACGTGATGACAGTCGCCAGAACATTGCGGCGATGACTCGTGTGTCGCTACTCTGATAATCTACGTACTCTAGATTTATCTTTGCTGCAGCGACCCCTTGCAGCAAATGTTTAGAAACGGTTCGCTACATTATAGCGCTTCATTTAGGAACGCTTTGATGTGTAGCGATCAAGCAGCCTAGGTGGCAGCCTACCGCTCTGGGGGACCCGGAATCGAATCCGCACGGGTCGAAAAATCCTCAGGAAATTTTCGGGGATGGTCCATCCGGATATACCCCGTTCCTCACCACTCGATCGCCCCATCTTTCTTTCTTATCTTATTAATATGGAGACTCTAGCCTGTTGGCTTTTTCTCCGAATCACTCCGCTTAGAAATTAGGCAAAGCGGTTGGTGCTGTGAACAAAACGCTCCAAGATTTCGATATGTTGGCGAGGAGGTAGGTCAGTATGAGGCCAGTATATCGGATTTAAGGTACGGTCGCCCCATTGTGAGCCTGGCCGAACTCATAATGGCTTGCTGAAAGAGTGCCCACAGGGCGGAAAGAGTTAAAATAAAATACCATGTACAGTACTGAAATTAGCGAATGTGATTGAGATCACGTTATGCAATATCATCGCGCCCCCTAGTGAATAAATAATAAATTCAAGGAATATAATTTTCAGTAATTAATAGATCATATATTATACTTTAACACTTGCTAGCATGTGACATTAATTAATTATTTTTATGGTTATTTTAAAACTTAAATGTTTTATTTTATTTTTAAATCGAAAATACAATTAACTTTTTTCATTCGAGTTTATAGATAAGATTATTTTAAGTTAGCTTATAATTTATTTAAATGATAGAAAAATTAAAATATTTTAATAATTGACAGCATATTTTAATTCGAAATTTTTTTTTTTTTTTTGCCAAAAAATACGCTATGGCAGACGAGTATTAGTTTGTAAATTGTCCACCAGGATCGAAAGCATCTCTATTGTCGCCTTAGGCTAAGTGGAAAAGGGAGAGTTTAGTTAACGTTGCAATTTCTTTTTTGTCTTTTAATATTACGTTCGAGGAAATTATTTCCTCTCAAAATGTTAATTAGGTGATATATAATGACGTCATTAAAGACTATATTGAAAAACTTCCTCAATCATGTCGATAAATTGGAATCTCAGAAAAAATTAGGACAAGATCCATTTGAAGAGGAATTTCAGGTAAAAGAATTTCTGGAATGCCATGACTTTTAAAGCTCTTATGTCATCTGACATACCCATAATATATTAAATACCTTGTGTTAAACATATATGCATTTGTTTCTTTCATTCAGTTTATTATCTAAATAGATATGATTTTGACATTTAGAGTTTTCATCACCTGTATATGAATGATAACATTATACGCTCGTCACTGACATATTTGAATGTTGTAGTAGAATTGAAAATAAAAATAAGCATCAAACATCATATAAAATCTAATATTGTAAGTTATTTAATAATCTAAAGTGTTTAGCTTTTAAATAACTTTGTTAAGAAAACTCAAAATGTGTTCAAAGTATTAAAATATCATGTTAAGTAAAATTATATTATTTTGGA